ACATATAACGTTATCGCCATCCAAACGGACCCTTATAGTATCAGTTTTTAAAGAACACCTTTTGCTATTTTGGGAGTTTTTGAAAACAGGGAGAAGCAATGCGGAGAACACTGTGCACTTAAAAAAAAATACGGAAGCGGCTCTCGGACATAACACCTTTTACGCCTCTTCCAAAATGGGCTCTATAACACCTTTCTTCTCTCTCCTCTCTACGGCTTCTCTCTCCTCTCCACCGCTTCTCTCTGCAAGATCGTTGCGCGCACTTTTCTCCTCTAGATCCAACTCTTGCTCATATTTTGTTAAGGTAAAAACAAATCACACTCCTTTTTTCTGTACCAAGTTTTTTTGGTTATGGATTTTGTTTTCTTTGTGGATTTGGTTATAGATTTGGTTGGTTGGATGAGTATGGTATGAAGATTTGATTGTGTATTTTGTTGGTTGTGTGAGTTTTGCTGTGGATTTGATTTTCAGTTTAGGGATTTGGGGTTTTCAGTTTAGGGATTTGGTTTGCAATTTAGGGATTTGATATGTGTATGTATAAATTAGTCTACACACATATATATACATATATGCTCCCCTTTGCGAGATATCGTTTCAGTCGTCATATAATCAGATTGATGATTCAATTGTTGCTCGTCTACATTTTCTTAGACTTTCATTATTTTCCTTTTTTTTTCTTTTTTTTTTCTTGATATTTCTATTTTTTAGAATTGAAATTGTGAAAAATCGATGAGAGATAGTGCAGATGATGATTCAAATTATTTCTTCACTTTGAACCTATTGGAGAGAAAATATCTTTCCTTAAGGATTCTGTGTATATGCTTATGCACTTTGAATCTGATTGTGGGTTCATCATATCTTTCAATTTCTAGGGTTTCTCATTCCTTATTTCACCTGCTTCATTTTTGCCTCGTTAACCAAAAATGTTTATTTCCTAATTAAGGAAAAGAAACAATCCAACAATATCCAAGCACTATGCTTAGCGGATCATAAATCAACTAAACATAACAGTTCCCCCCAACAAATAAACTAGAAGACCTTCCACCGTCTATTTTGAATCGAACAGAACTATACACTCTGAATAGTGCAGCCTAAGACTCAATTAATCATAGGCTTAGCCGCTCAGGTTAAGGAAAGAAAAAGGTAGAAAGAAAAGTTGTATGGTTTGTTAATCAAAAGGGGCTACAAATTGCTTGGTATAGAAAGTTTAATGGCTGGGACTAAAATAAATAGTTGCCAAAAATATTAAACAACATATAAATAAGCAGAAGATGAAACTAAGAATCTCACAAAAAAATTCCTTTACACTCAACCCTTAAAGTCGAAAACAGAAATTACAGAGCATCACATTCTCTCATCAACTTTAATTCAACTAAAGGAGAGAAATAAAAAAAACATATACATAACCTGTTGTAGTGCTACTACTTCTACTAGGACAAAGATTCCATAAAACAAATTTTGACCATCAAGACTAATCTAAACGCACCATATAGTAAGAACCACCGCCCCTACCATCCAATAACAGAACAATAAAACTCTAGAAATCACAGAAGATTGTTGATTTTCTTTTTCATCCTCTTTTCATTTTTGTTCTTTCTCACTTCCTGTAAAAAGGTGAGATAATTTTGTATTCTTTAATGTCTTTTTTTTCTTTGATAAGTTATTCTTTAATGTCTTCAGTGGTGATCATATGTTTTGAGTCATAATCTGACTGCAAAAAATTGACCTCTCTCCATCTCTTTGGTTCAAGATTTGGTCTATTTATTTTTCAAATGATTTTTATGTTTTTTTTTTCCTTTGTTATTGTTTTTTAATCTTTGCCTTTGACATTGGCTAATCACTTGGTTTTGGATGTTAAATTATGGTCTCGAGAGTTGAGGAACGCCAGTAGAGATGGTTTAGTTGATTTTGTTTGTGGTGCAATATGCAACAATCATTGTTTGTTGTGTGAGTTTTGTTGCAGATTTGAGTTTTGTTTCAAAATCCATGAAACTAAGAGAAGTGAATGAATGAGAAAATGAAGGCTACTAAGGTTTCAGATACAGAGTAAGCTTCAACATGCAGGTCACCCTATATTATAATACACACACACACACACACACACACACACACATATATTATATAGTTTAGTTATAAAGTATGTTAATTACCAACACATGTATGGTCCATTAATTCCCATCTAGAAATAATTTATATAGAGTTATACTGTAGATGAAGATTAGGCGGAGCAGGCCGACCTCCCAGCATCATTGTGGTCGAATCTGATTAAACATAAATGGATAATCAAATAATCGGAGATGAATTAAGCAAGCACACTGAATGAACTGCTACGTCACCAATGAAAATGCAGCCTCCTTTGACAAGGCTTTCAAAGCAAGGTGGTTTCATGGCCAGTTGTTTTAAAGAATGAACATTTCCCCATTTTGAGGTACCCAACCCTATGACTGATCACTAATAATGGCTTCAAAAAATATGTAGAATTTTATGTTACTTGGTATGTAAATTTGGACTGAATCTGGCGCTTTGGTGAGGCTCGTTATTTAATTTTGATCTTTCTGAGAGTTTGATTTTTAACCCCATTCCTTTGTTAGATCTCTTGTTTTCCAATTGGATTCAAACTGTTGAAGTCCACCCTAATTAATGGGCCTAATTACTGTTTGGTTGCCGAGAAAACCAAGGAAATGAGTGAGTTTTATTTATTTATTATTGTTTTTTTCTTGAACATCATTGACTCTGCTAAGCAATGCGAAATAGTTATGTGCTAGATTTGGTTGCTACCTTGGAATTTTACTGGTGTTTCTAAATATTTAAAGCTTGTTTGATTCTTAACTGTTGGATTAGCATTATCAATTTGGATTATAAATTATGTTTAGAGGTAGATTAACTTTATGGGTATGATATATATTTGAGTTGTGTGAAAATCTTTTATTGCTTATAATTCTTTGCCTAATGCACAAATAAAGGATGGCATCTCAAATTGCTGATGTCGAGGAGTCAGCTCTGTGGTCTACACAATTAGAGAGATGTTTTGTTGATATAATGATTGAGGAGGTCAACAAGGGGAACATGCTATATGGGATATTTACTTCCAAGTGTTGGAAAAAGATTAAGGAGGAGTTCAAAAACAAGACTAATCACGCTTATAATGTGAAGCAACTAAAGGCAAAATTTAATCGATAACGTACAAAGCATCGTGAGTTTTCAACACTTCTAAACGAGACAATTGGGTTTGGTTGGGATGCGGAAACAAACACTGTGACTGCTGATGAAGAAACTTGGCAAACATATTTGCGGGTAAAATATGTATTTAATTAATTATTTTACAATAGTTAGTTTAATTTTTGAACATGGTTATTCCTAACAATCTTTATATATATATATATATATATATATATATATATATATATATATATATATATATTTTCAGGCTCATCTAATGCTAAGTGTTTTCGCAAAAAAGGTTGTGAAAATTACAAACATTTGGGAGTTCTTTTTAATACGTCAACTGCTACTGGGCAACTTCACTATGCATCCACTCAAGATCCACCTAATACAGACGAAGAACGAGAGTAGGAGGATCAATTTATGAATGCAGGTGTCCATGTTAGTTCAACTGCTGAAGGTCAAGATGATTCAGATAATATTCTAGTTAAAGACAATAATCCTCATCGTCGTAAATCCACATCCTCTGATCGTCGTGCAAAAAAGGAGCATAAAAAAGATTCCATTAGTGATACTCTTGCTTGTATTGTTGAAGCTTCCAAAGCAAGGACTGAAGCTTCATTAGCTAAGGCAGAGACGTATAAGAAAATGAAACATACTCAAAAGGCAACTAGCCCAGACGCATACTCTTTAAGTAATTGTATTGAATGCCTCGAGGGTCTTGATGAGATAGATGATGACACATATTTGAAGGCAACTGAAAAGTTCAAGGAATTGCACTACAAAGAATTGTTCATTAAGATGAGTATTTCCAAGAAGTTTGCTTGGTTGAAGAGCTTGGACTGACTTGGGTGGTTACTGAATGCAGGGTTTAGTTTTTGGTTGCATATGACTTGAAACACATATTTGGTTTTATGTGTTATTGAACAATTTCCTTATGCCTTATTTGATTTTTTTTTTCTTTTTTCCCTATGCATATGACTTTATGTTATATTCGTGTGGGGGACAATTTATTATGTTTTATGTTATGAAAACTTTGTTTTGTTGTACCTTTTATTATGTTTAATTTATAATGTTTCATGTAACTCTTTTATTGTATTTAAATTTAGGAAGAATGTATATGGAGTCCCATGAAAGGGAAACAAAATATAAGCACCAAAGAGAACCTCCATTTTGGAGTTATGCAGAAAGAGGATTGTAATTAAACTTGATATATGTATTTATGCAACTATTATTAAGTTAAGAATATTAACTAAAATGAATTTACTTCCAACACTTATTTACATTAATAGTTAATATCAATAAAAAAATAAGGTACAATAATATTTTTATTTATTTTCTTAGTTCAGAAAACTATTTTCAAAAACTCATACAACCAAGTAATTTTATGAGTTTTTGTTTTTCGGAAACTCTTTTGTAAATTCTCTTAACCAAGCAAACTTGAAATCTGAAAAAACTAAAAACTGTTCTCTAAAAATTGTTCTCGAGAACTGTTCTCTGAAATGCAATCCAAGCATGGCCTTTGTTTCTCAACATCTTTGACTCTGATTGAAGTTAACAAAGCATTTATCAAAGCTCGGTAGTAAAAAGACAGTTGAAATGAATCACATGTGAGTAGTAAAAAGCAACAGAAACACAAGTTTGGTTTTTACTCCAATTCTCACAAGCAAGACAAATTATTTATTTATTTTTTATTTGAAATGTGGAAAGACACAAGTTTGGTTTTATCTCCAATTCTCACAAGCCAGACAAATTATTTATTTATTTTTTATTTGAAATGTGGCAAGGAAGACTTGTTGAGTGCAAAATGTGGCAAGGATTTTTGAATACACAGTCTGCAATGCGATAATGGGCATGGAGGCTGTTATAGCATGTTAATTGTATTGCCTTCATAAGTTTTATATATATATATATATATATATAATCGTCCCCTCAGTATTTAAACTAAAACAATTCACGGTCTATTGAAAAGGTGAGGATCATTCTACCAGCAGTGTCACACACTGGTACATCGTAATGGACCGAAGAGAAAACGTCCATCAAATATTGGATTTGGATGGATCTCTGAACAATGGTATTTCAAGCCCAATGTCGTAGCCATCAGCAGCAAGCACTGAACTGGATCAAGCCCGTTTTAGTTGGAATCAATGCTCGTCCCCAGAGACCTAAGATGGCTCAAGATCGGCCCTTCCAGGCCCATTCCTGAACAGTACACGTTTAGTTCTTTACTTGGGAGGTTCAACTCGTGTAGGAACTCTTGTACCGGAGAAGAAAATCAAAACCATTTCTCACTGAAAATTCATCGATATATATACATATAATGCCTATATTATATATATAGCTTCATAGAGATCGAAACTGTGGCGAAACTCGATTGTTTCGAAGATGATGCAGCCAAAGCAAATCTCTGATGATCGAGGCTCTTCTACATTTAGGTAAATCAGTACCTCTTCCTTTTTTTCAATTTGTGCATTACTAAAAACCCTAATGCCAACTTAAACCCTCTGTTTGATTCCAAAGAAACTGCAGAAAATAAATTGTAGAAAAAAAAATCAAAAGTTTTATAGAATAGTAATTGTGTTAGGTTTAGTTGAGTAGAGGATTTTATTATGGAGTTGAAAAGATTTAGAATTTGGAGTTTTTGTTTTCGCCTTTTTAACGCTTATTAGCAATCAAACTTTCTGGTTTTCATTAATATGCTCATTAATTTGCTGGTAATTATGTTGTTGGTGCATTTCAATTTTTTTTGGGTTCGTGGCACCTTCTTGAAGGACGATAATGTTACTTTTTCTGTTTGGTTAATTAGAAACTGCAGGGAAAAGAAAGTTGGAAGTATAAGTGTAACAATTTCACCAATTGAAAGTTGACATTTTCTTTTTTAAAGGAACAAAAACAAAACACTCTTTGACTACACATTTGGCTAGTTATTGCCCTTTTTGAATAAAAGCAACATGAAATATGGTATGTTGTTATCTAGAGGTTATCTTGTTTGGGTGTTAATGCAGAATGATATTGTCCTCTCCATCAGCAAACCTAGAAGAACACAATAACATAGAATTTTTTTCTTCAATTCTTTTCCTAAATCTCATTTAGTGTAGTGAAAACTAAAGGACTACAGGGTTTTAGCATCAGTAGAGATGTGTGGGGCAGAGCTTATGAATAGTCGGGCACGTATAATAAATAAGTAATGGTATGTTGTTACAAGGTCAATTTGATTTGTAAACTGAATGGAAACTTACTCTTTTTATGTATGATGTTTTATATTACCTTCAGCTGGTTAGAATAAAATCCCCAACCTTGAGATAGATTAGCACAGACTAACCTCATCATGATTCATGTGTTGGACTGATGGTAGACTGTGTAATTATGCTCTTTCATGTACCAAAGCCATGCAAATTTGAGGTAAAGTTGTGTTATCACAATGGAAAAACTGCTAACTAGGGCAACTTCGGTTGAGTAATCTGTTTCCCTGGAAAATAAAGTGTGGGATATGATCCATTTTTCGTAGGGTTGATATTTGCCGGCTCACTTGGCCAAATAGTGTGAACTGTGTGATCAAATTGTTTTCCTTCCTGTTTAGTGTTGGTGGTGGCTGGTTTGTGGTTGAGAAGTTGACTCTTTAGAGTCACTCGATAGTCTTATTAGTTTTAATAAACTCATGCCAACCATTGATTCACGTCTTTGAGTTTGTGTTGCTGCAAGTGTTGACCAATTGCCTTATGCACTCTTAAATGTGATTATGTGTATTTGTAATATTATGTGACAAATTATATCAAAAACAATTTTGGAATGACATATCACAAGGCTGGTGAGCGCTATCATTTGTGTAATTGTACACTAAAATAGAAGCCTTCTGTTCAGTGTTCTCTTGAATCCATATCCACTTATTTTCCACCTGACTTGTCCTTAATATTCTCAGTTGTTCATACTAATGCTCCTGTTACTATGTAGGAACACTCCTTTGCAGATAATCCATATTATTGGCAACTTCTTGAGAATATGGTCAGTTTACTCCATGTACCGCTACTTGTCCCAGACAGGAGCTTCAGTTGTACTTTTTATCTTCAGTTGTCTCGTTCCATCATCAATCCTATTTTTATTTTTGCAAAAGCCTTGGAAAGGCAGGCCGCTCTCTAATATACAGGTTGAATGCATGTATTCTTTTCTATAATGAAGTGAACCGTAAAATGAAGAGTAAATTTTTATGATTTTTCATTACATATTTTTTATTGAAGGCTTTGTTTCAGGTTGTACCCTCTATAATAAATGGTGTTATAACAGCTCTATACTTCATCCTGTGGGGAAAGGGCCTCAAAGCATGTGGGCCTACAAGGTAGATCTTTTATTCATGAAAAAGATTCCAACTATATTCTAAATACGTCAAGACTTGTTGAATACTGTCTTCTATCTTGTTATATTTTTATTTTTTTATCTAGACAATAAAATCCATTTTATCCATTTGTCAAAATTTAATTTTCTTGTTTTATATAATAAAATTATGTGGTGCAAAAAGCAGAGAACCAGCAGTAAATGATGGAAGAATAACAGATAATGCAATGGTTAATGAAAAAATGATGACTTCTAGATTTTCAGTAGGACCAAGACAGTCTCTCTATAGAGATTTTTAAAAATAGATAATAACTTCCACGGTTAAAGTATTTATGAGTTCTGCCTCGTTACTTCCTACTTGATATGGTCTAGGTCCCCTTTCTCAGCATCCATTTTCATGATATATTTGGAGGCTTGGTCATTGACATTCTACCTATGTTTCAAATGAAATGAAGGCTATTACCTAGTTCCTTCTTTTATCTTGGGAAGGATGGGTTTTTCTTTTTTTTTTTTTTATAATCCAATAGCCATTGTTGATTTTGATTTCTTATCAAATTTCAGGGCTATTATGGCAGAGTATTCTGGTGCTGTTCTTGGGGTACTATCTGCAGTATTGTATGGAAGGAGGGGCCATCTCTGGAAAAAGGTCTGTCTTAGATATGACAGATTTTTTGAGGTTTCAGTTTTATCAGCCGCTTGCTTTGACTCAAAAAGAGTACAGAGATACTGAATCTGAGTGAATCCTACAAGAAAATTTTCTTATTTTAGTATCATGGATAGCAATTAAGCATAGGGTTTGCATATGACGTTCCTATTATGATTAAGAATGGTGATGCCTCTGCTTCAAAAGTCATTGTCCATATCAATGCTTCATGAAACTTCATTTAATGCTTAATTGAGACGCGGGTGTTTTGTACTGATAGCTAATTTAATGTTGCATTGTCAAATGCGTTGTCAAGTTCTAATTTTGACTATAGCACTTAATTTGGAACTGATGAATGAGAACTAATGCATTTGTTCTTTTCTGTCAATATACATAGTTGAATTAAAAAGACAACATAAATTTTCTTTTTTCCTTCTTTTCCTTAATCAGTTGGGTTTTTCCTCATCTTTAATCAGCTGGGTGGACTCATTGCAATGTTGGCATCTTTCTACTTCTTCTCTGAAGGATGGGCCATAGCCACATATTCTCCACTCAATATCCTTTTGTACATTGAACTATTTAGTTCCAAGCTATAAAATAGGCGGTTGAGGATAATTATATTTCCTTTTTCCCCTTCCAATCTTTCGCCAGTTTTTTATTATTCTAAAAAATGAGCTGATTTTCTTGTCTGATAATTAACTTAACCAGACAATACCATTTAGCGATCTCCCTAATACTGAAGTTCAGACGGAACACGTTTTGGGAATGAAGGAAATGGCAGTTCCCATCTTTGCTGGAATCTTGTCAGCATTGAGAAGGGTGATTGCAAGGCGAGTTTCACTCAAGGTATTGACATTTGTCCATATACAATTATCATGTGCTCTTGCATGTTTTTTACCAGAACATTCTGATCAAGTACTTTAAGTTACTTGTTGACATCGCAACATTTAACTGTGCCATTCTTTAATTACAGAATCAACTTAAGAGGCGACTTAATGCTATAACCATTGCTTCTGCAACCTGTTTTCTCTTTCCCGTGGCCATGTGGGACATGATTATAGTAAGTTTAGCTCTAGCTCTTATGAATTCTAATCCAACATGTAAAAGTGCTTTAATTTCACTAGTAGTATATAATTCTGAAAACCTGTGTGTGTGTGTGAATGTGTGTGCATAACACTCCACTGGGTTTTGGTTTGATTGATGATACTCGTGTCTTGTGCTCACATTGAGTACTTCAGGGATCAACTGGTGGGAGCAGCATGGAGTTGCCCTTTTCTGCTTGGCCTTTTTTGAGCACCATTCTCTTTGGAATTATATTCATATTTTATGTCGACAGTATTGCTGAAGAAAGGTACCACTTTTGGCCTTATTGATCTGGTTTTGCTTGATTAATGGTTCAACAATTGATATTTAAGCAGGACAGCAGATTTTTCTTGGATGCTAATGCATCACAATTAACCTCCCACTTCATTCCTATCAAGATAGTCAACTAATCTGTCAATAATAAAATTTATTTAATTTGATGGTCAAAAGTTGGATATTGAAAGTTTGGGAGAATTATGCCAGAAATGTTTGCCAGATTATAGTGTCTATGTTGTATTTTTATACACTGTTGCTCCAGAGCTAAATGAGACATTCCAAGTACTCTCTTTTCTTTTTATTTTTCTTCTCTTTTATCTTGTATAAGTTGTTCTGTTGGCTCAAGTAAGAACCAACCTGATAAATCTTTATTGGAATGATTCATTCATATAGATTTTTAAAAAAGAAATATGTCTTTGTTATACCACATATTTCTTTATAAAAAAAGGAGCTGGCCGAAAAGGCCAGCAAAATGGGGAGCCGAAGGGCTCCCCCATTCACACATTTCCTGGTGTGGGACCCATGTTTGAGTTAACAGGTCCCACACAACCAACTGTGCGGATGGGGAGCCCTTCGGCTCTCCTTTCCGACAGCCTATCACTGCTCTATATATATTAGTATTTGCCATAATTTTATGATTTTTCTGTTTCGAAGTCAATGTTCCCATCCAAATTCAGTAAATTGATTAACTCTAAATTTATGACAGTTTCTACCTTGGGGTTTAAATGTTGACAAGAGAAGGACTGAAGGAGAAACACATTATGATTGATTTACTTTACTTGAATGAAATTATTGTACAATATATTCTTTTTATGTAAATCCTTTTGGTAGTAATCTAACTTTGGACAAGTAAGTTTGCAGGCTATAGAACTCCTAAATGACCCTGATTCTCTCTCCTGAAAGAATGAAGGGAAAGTGTCAAATTCCTATATATATATATATTCATTCTTGCATTGTGTTGATGCAATTGCTGCCATTTATATGATGACATTCTAAAAGGTGCCATTGTATCAATGTGGAGAATTGATTTGAAAGCCCCTCGCCCCGATCCCGCGGATAAGTAATTCCTCCAACCCCACTTTGGTACAAAATGGTCGTGTTTTGCCATGATGTCATCATGTTCACATTAATCTTATGGATTTGTTCACAAGGTTCATATGCTCCTCGTGCATCTTTGATTGCTTAACACCACCACCACAACCACCCCCCCCCCCCCCAATTATTTGTATTTGAGTATGGTTTGATTTTCAGAAAATATTATGACCATGGAATCAGCCTTAGGAGTGGAATAACTGGTAGAGCTTTGATCTCTTTGTAGATTGCATATGGTTTTCTCTTCTCCAAAACATTTAATGGTTGCTGGAGGATGCATCATTGTCATGGAGATTGTATACAGAATGGACTTCTCTTTACCAGGCTTTCTTATTTGCTCCACCATATTGGGCTTTGGTATGTACAAATCCCTTTGTTTTTACACTCTTCTTTATTGATTCTTATTTGCTCCACCACAAACTGTACCTTATTTGGTCTTTTCTAATTAGATAGTTGGGTAGACCTCATATATTGTTCTTGTGGGTTGTCTTTATTATTGTTGGCACCTCTAGATTGGCCTGGTTTGGTCAGAGTGGAGTTGCCATCCAATGTGTCGATGCTTGACGTCAAACTTGGGTTTGAAGACTCTAGCTTAGGTCATTGCCGTAGAGCCTATTTGGATTTACTGCTGAACCACTTAGAACGCTTCTATTTAAAAAATCGCTTTTAGATGCCTTTGCTAACCAAAATAAGCACTTTTAGATGGTCGAGATTTTAGCTCACTAGAGCTTTCGGTTGAAGCTAAAGTTTATAGATTTTAAAATTGCATTTTGGGTAGAGGATCTATATTTTAGGTAACTGTTTTTTCTTAAACAATTTTATCCCTTTTTATTTTTTATAAAGAGAATTTTATCCCTCTCTGCACATGCTTGTTGATGCATAAATGCAAGAATACTTCATTAAAGGGCAATATCATAAAATTAGTAATATAATTGCTTTAATCAATATTGCTACCAAACAAATTAAAAGTACTTTATATGATGCATCATCACCAAACACATAACATGCTTTTTAATGACGACAGTTTTATGACAGCTTCACTAATAAAAGCACTTTCTCCGTTTCAACAGCATTGCCAAATGGGCCCTTACAAGAGTAATGGTGATTTTGTTGTTTCTGGGAACTTGTTTTAAAAAAAAAGGTTGTCACACCGCCGCCCCCCCCCCCCAAATTCCCTTCTCTTTTTGGTAGATTTTTTAAACTAAAAATGAAAATTAGTTCCACTTCCATTATTAGACTGTTAATCTGCTATTATCATAGTACATGGCATGTAGTCTGCTTCATGAAATCATATTTATTTTCTCTCTTATGTATCCTTTTTTCCCCCCTCTTCTCGGTAATAATATCATTTCCTAGAGTTACATGTATTGGCTGTGTATAAAATACAAAGTTCCTGGTCCTTCACTTCACAACAAGGTTTGTGGAAAAAAAAAAAAAAATTAATGAATGAAGACCTTAAATTGCAATGACAAAAATGAAACACTTTCACGCTGGGGCTGACCTCAACTCGGTTAAACACGACAAATAAAAAAAAAAATAGGACTATCCTTCATATATTTTTTTGTACTGCTGTAAGTAGTTAAGCTACATTTCTAAGCTCATATATCAAAATAGAGGCAATAAGGGCACCATCTTGGATCCTTGGATTGCGTTAGGATTAGCATCCACCATAAATAGTACTAATTTCCCTTAAATCCTCACAAGGTTACCCTTTTACTAGTTATATAGAGTTCCTCAACTAATTAAACTTTGGGCAGATAGGTCATGCCACCACTTTTGAAAAGTCTATATCAGCAACCACTCTGCTTCTCCAGTGTCAAAACTGGAACTATTAGTAAAGGATAAGTGGAGGATTATCAAAGAGAAGGAGCATCACAATGTGTACAAACTTCTAGCATGTGCATCCATGTGTGAAGAACTAGAATTGCTAACTAGGAAATTTTTTCAAAATTTAAGGATGAATTATGGAAGTTTCAATTTTTGTACATTTACTTTTTAAAGCAACATATATTTTGAAACATCTCAAAAAGGAAAGAGGAAGACACTTACCTAGTGAGGGAGGTAGTAATTGCATTTGACTTTGAAGAGCTCATAGGAAATATATTCAACCTGTGTCTAGTTGTGACCATGTATTACAGGAGCTGTGGGTACTTGATGCCCTTGCAATGCCAATGGTGAGAGAACCCCAACAAAAGTTACCAAATCGAGAGATAGTATCTCGTTGCACTTGATGATAAACCAATATGCTAATGCAGAAGCATGAAAATAGATTATATTACATGTGAAACTATTAAATTCTGTTTTTTAAGTAATATGAAGTTCCATCATTTAGTACTGCTAAAAGGATAAATTTTGTATTGCTCCGACACATTACCCAAATTTCGAGTGTGAGCTATGGTCATCATTTTTCTAAATAAAAAAGAAATAGAAAATTAATTTTTATTTAGTTATTTTTTGAGAGTATAACTCCAGACTCAGATTAAATTATAAATTGACCACTTTGAAACGAAATTGATTTTCACTAAACCAGTAATCTGCTAGTTATGCAGGTTTTCTTTGACTGTCCAGTCACAAGCACACCTGTCGAGTTGGGATAAGAACTCTGTAGAAGTCACAGAATTATTTATTTGATAAAAGAGCATTGATGCGAACTATAGTCTGATGAATCATTCCTTCAGTAAGCTGATGCTTCAAGCTTTCATTTCAAAATTATTAAAATAACTTTTTGGATAAGTACCTCTTTTAGTATATGTAGCTCAGGATTAAAATGCTTTCGCTCGGCTTTATAAAGTTTCTTTTTCTAATTATTTGTTTTTTTTCAATTTTCTTTTGCCTGTTATACTGGTTTATGGATACCTTTATATTCTTGATTGAATCAGCATACACGTGATGTAATGATCTCCATGTGCACTTGTCAATTGTTGCCTCTGTTGTTGAACTGAACTTGGCTTATTGGTGAATCTGAATCATATTTTGTAGGGATATATGAAGCAACTTCTTTGGAACGTGTTGGAAAAGATTCTTTGCAAAAGTCTGAACGATCAAATGGGATTTTTGAAGACCAAATCCAGATGTCCAGACTCCCAACATGAAGTATGTGATTGATTTCTTGAAAGTTAATAGTTCGACATCTAATAATAATATAATACACACACACACACATCTTTGTGATTGTAAAATTTCTCAAGTTTGGTTTGGGCACAATCTAGATGGAGGTTAAGGAAAGCTAGATATTGATCGTGGGATTTGATTTTAAATCATTAGAAAAATCTTGGTGATGAGGAGAGGATCTGGTTTTAGCATATTAAGATATCCTAATGGAGCCCTATCAAAGAAGATTTTTCATCATAGAATGTAAGATCTGTGGATGCTATATGGGTTTAAAATAAGTTGAAAGATAACTAGGCAAGTCAATCATGGAATAAATGCCATCACTTCAAATTTGATCACAAAGAATTTTCATAATGAATTTTTTATAATATTATTAGCAATTAAGAGTATTCAAAATGGTCCTAATGGATGATAACCTAATATGAATCTATTTCTGCCTTAAAACAAGCACAACTTAATTAGCCGCTGCTGCAAAATGGGGAAATCATTACTTACTCCTAACATAGAACTAACTAAATGCTGGACTTTTAATGAATAAGAATTGAGGGGGGTGTACGTAATATAAACTGTTATTATTGACATCTTTGCTCATTGTGGATTTAAGTAAACCTGAATGAGAGGTTCCGAAATATTCATGTGTAGATGGATTCCATGTCAACTTTCAATATGCTAAAGCAGCAACCTTCAGGAGCTGACCTCATGGACCTCTTGTTGATGGTCGTAAAACTCTGCACCAAAGAAACTGAATGTGTACTTTCAAGTCATAGGAAAGTGAACCCACAGTTAATTGGCTGTTCAACGTAGTGCTACAAGTCTTGCTGTTCTGGACAATCTTCCCACTAGCTTGCAAGCTCTTCTTCAGAAAGACACACTGTCCGCATCTCTTTAATTCAAAAGTACATAATTACATATTATCGGTTATCATTCAAAGGATGGCTCACTTATGGTGTTGGGGATTGCCCACTCTGTACCAAACAATAAATAATTAAAATATATAGCATGAAAGAGAAATTAAAAAGAAAATTGTCCACCATCCTCCATCTTGTGGTATATTGCATGTTATATCTATTACTGCTGTATATGGAGGAGGAAGTGAAGCTTGCTCGAACAATTGTTCCTGAAGTACCTATTACATGTTAAAGGGATTCATTTATTAAATCTAATGGATTTTAAATGGTATCGTGTTAACTTGAAATAATATAATATAACTATTCTGTTGTGCTTGACTGCTTGTGAATCAGTAGTCGTCCCTTGGCTTACATACAGAAAGATAATAGAACCTAAAACCCTCCTACCACTCCACTCTCTCTCCTATCTGAATTTCATGTGTTATTAATAAAGAAATTAATTTATAACAAAATTTTATGTTTCGAGTGCTTTGACTTGTGTAGAGAGAGAAATTCAATTGAGTTACACCAATTATGTCGGCATTGTCCATGCCAAACCACTAGTAGATCTTGAAAGTGAAAATTTGGTGAAGATGTGTTTAATTAACTGTGAATTACATGAAGCTGTTGCTCTAGATTTGTAGCTTCAATGTACTCTCTCTCTCTCTCCTTTCTTTTTTTTACCTGTTCATGTTTTATGTTGTTTCGAAAGTGGGGTGGGGAGTGCATAAAAGTTTCTCATCTTTGCTCACTGCTCTATTTTGTGGTGCAGAAGCATACTTTGTGTTTATTAGGCGGTCTTGGCGGTGGCAAAGCAGCAAGTTGTGGTAGAAATTCTGGTTTGTTTAACCCTACTTACCGTAATCCGCTGCGAGAAAGTTGTGTTCGGGGAACACACAAGCAAATTCTTTGATTACTGGAATCATGGGGAACTCCAAGCGGATTACTGACTGCAACCTTATGTCACATCAAATCGAAGTATGTAGGAGATTGGTTTATCAAAGTTTATTACTTCGACATTTTAAGTTGCCCACTTTTTTATTTATTGTTTTTGAGTTCATAGCTGTGGGTGAAAGATGAACACTTGTACAGATGATTGTTGCAGTCAATTGATGAGTTCCACTGTTCTATAATTTGTTTCCAGTTACAGTGGCTTTTCCTTATAGTTTACCATCCATCACTTCACGAATAACCTTGGTGATTCAAGGATGAAAACAATTATGTTTGTGAGGGTTGGCTTTGTATTGAAGTTTTTATTAAAAAGCTAGGTTTTGTTGTTGGTTTTGTAATCACTTGGGTCTGAAGCAATGTACATAATTCTTCTCCTTGAAACAACCAAGAAAAGAAGGGTTTTCCCCTATTGATACACCATACTTCTCCAGGAAAGGACCTCAGCTTAGTAACTCTTGTTGAAGCATGTTTTCCTGCTCACAATGGACTATGGGCAAAGCGACAAAATTTAAGTCATTGGGGAATGGAGCGGGAGAGTGATAGACCCATTGATACCCAAAAAAATCGTATGACTCAGGTCTAGACTATAGAGTTATTAATTTTGCAAATTCATAAATTTGATTCCCCATTTATGCACAATCATAGAAATGAGGAGACTGATAGTAAATACAAAATATAAGTCACACACAGTGGGAGCGGCTATTAATTTTGCAAATCTCTAAATTTGAATTTCCATTTAAGCCCAAGTTACCAAAATGAGGAGACTGATGGTAAATACAAAATCGATATGTAAATCTCAATTGAGATATGTTAAGGGACAAAATTAGCAAATGAAAAATAGTTAATGACATATTTATTTAATGGTATGATTTTGAGCCTTAAAAGGTGTTATTTGATAAAACCGAAAATAAAGTACTAAAAAATTTAGAATATAAATTTAAGTGTTAAAGTTTTAAGTTTATTTGCAAATTATTATTATTATTATAATTGAATAAGCACTAATTCTTTGAATTGAATTATCAAATAATTACCTTAGTACCAAACCCAGATCCATTACTAGTTTACCACTCATTCCCATATCCAAACCCGATTTTCACCGTGCATGCATTTTTATTAGGTTCTGTTTGTTTGTGGGGAATATCGTTGGAAAATGTTGGGGAAAGCGATGACACCCAGTGACGGTGTGAGTCTGACCCAACAGATTTTCCATCGTTAAATAATTTTCTTTGAATTTTCGTCACATCCGAACAACCTCCATAAACCCCATGTGGCCTGCTCTCGTATTACCAAAACCCATTCCATGTCGTTGCCTGGGTCTCTCTCACCCTCTGCCCAAATCACCTAGAAAACCCATCTCTTCTCTCTGCAACCACAACAGCAGCATCAGCAATCAAGAACTGAACCTTAACTGGAAGGGTTTGAAAATCGTTCGTGGCGAGAAGTTATTAAGTGATCTGAGCACTTGGGGCATTGGAGGCCCTTGTAACTATTTTGTAGAAGTTTTTGATCAAACCCAACTCGTCTCTGTACTCAGGTTCAATTCTTGTTCAGTTCTATACTGATTATTTATATTTTGTTCATTTTTTTATTAATACATATGCTGATTATTTGTTATTTTTATGAGGCTTTGATTAAGAATGCTCTAGTTAACAACCATGACATTCCACATTTTCCTTGGCACGGCAACAAATTTACTCAAGAACTCACTTCAAGGCTGATTCAGAGAGCTTTAAATTGATGTTTATGTAATCACAAGCTTCTGAATTACCCTTATATGTGTTTGAATAAGTATGTGCATTTAGGTGTTAGCACGCATGCGAGTAGGGAATTGAATGTGTGCACAACTGCACATTCCTATGTGTGTCGGTGCTAATGTAGAACATAATTGAATTCTTTTTAATTTGATCCAAATTTTACAAGTTATAAGCTAAAATGGAAACAGTAACAGATGGTGATGACAATGGTTTGAATCTTGAAACAATGCAGATACTGTCACGAGCATTCCATACAATTCATGGTCATTGGTAAAGGCTCAAATTGCCTTTTTGATGATTTGGGGTTTGATGGTTGTATTGTTCTGAACCGAATTGAATTCTTGGAGAAGATTGAATCTGGCATATATAGAGTTGGAAGTGGTTTTCGATTCAATCGTTTGGGCATCCAGTGTTCGAATGAAGGATTTATGGGTCTTGAGTTTGCTGGAGGTATTCCTGGGACTGTAGGGGGAGCTGCTTATATGAATGCAGGAGCAAATGGGCAGGTAATGCTAGTCCTGACTAAGAATAATACACCAATCTAAAATTGTTTGTGGATGAAACTGCTAACTGGCTGTTTACCTATTATTGTGTTATAGGAGACTGCTGATGTTATTGACAGTGTTGAGATTGTCACAAATGAAGGCAAATTTCAGACACTGAACAGAATAGACCTCGACTTTGGCTACCGACTATCACCATTTCAAGATATGGATAACTTGGCTGCCATTGTCGCTGTCACATTCCGATTGAAGCACTCTGAATCAGCAAGGAGAAGGCAACAAGAATACTTGGAAAGGTAAGGCCCTGCTTGGTTCAGTTTTTTTATAACAGTTTTCTGATAACTGGAAAAAAAATAAAAATAAAAAAAAATAAAAAATAAAAAATTGAGAATTGTTTTCTGAAAACTCGGTTGAGAAAATGACTATTTTCAGAGAACTATTGTATTTTATAGTTCCCTGTTCTGAGTTCTTGAGAATTGTTTTTAGAAAACTAAACCAAGCCAGTCCCAACTGTTTCAAGTCTCTCTGATGCTTCTTGGGAATAAATGCTAGTGGGGGTGTGGTTTTGTTTACAGGAGGAGAATATCTCAGCCTCTGAGGGAGCAGAGCGCCGGCTCGGTGTTCCGTAATCCGTCAAATTCAGGGGTTTCAGCAGCAGAGTTGATTGAGAGAGCTGGATTGAAAGGTTATAGAGTGGGAGGAGCAATGGTTTCAAACATCCATGCCAACTTCTTCATTAATTCTGGTGGCTCAACTTCTCAAGACATGCTCCAGCTTATTGGCTTGGTTAAAGAGATGGTATATCAGAAGTTTGGAGTGCAACTAAAGGAAGAAGTGTTGTATGTTCATCCATATTGTAGAGTTTCAATCCAAACAGAGACAAATGACCAATCATGTAACAGTTGAAGAACTAAATGATTAGTGCTTGTGAAGTGTCAATCACACTCATGATTCTCTGAAATGATAATTCTTTATTCAATTCAAATTCAATGTTACTAATCTCCCTTGTTTGGTATTTGGAAGAAGTGCTGTATGTTCATCCATATTGTAAAGTTTGCAATCCAAAGAGAGACAAATGACCAGTCATGTAACAGTTAAAGAACTAAATGATCAGTGCTTGTTCAGTGAACAAACTGTCAATCATTCTCATGATTTTTCTGAAATGATGATACTTTATTCAATTCAAATTCAATGTTAGTAATCTTCATGAACAAATTGTAATCAAATCCCATGTCCTGCATTTCCAGCACTTTTGGTTAGTGCTTTGGTGATTACATGAGCAACAATTCCAATGGGACAAAAAAGCAGGCAAAGAGAAACCGAATGCCTGGTCTCAACTCTGTTCTCCAGTCCATCATGGAAAACCTGCCTGGTTGAATTACATAAAGTTGGAAGTGTTAGAATTTATAGGCACACAATGCGCGTTCGCACACAAACACGCACACACACACAGACCTTGCAGCAAAGAGATCCACAGCCAACAAATGAATCCATGCAGAAGCTAATGTCATCTCATTGGAGAACATCTTTGCTATTCCAGGTAACTGAAAAAATATATTAAAAATTAAAAAAGGAGTGTAAAATGTGTTAAATAAGAATCATTAGTTTCTTCCAAAACTAACTATTGAAGCCTTCAAGAACTTCAGAAATACACCAAACATGTATTGAATCTTCTGCCAGTTGAACACACACCTCTGGAAGCCAGTATTTACTTGCGAACATCATACGCATAGTATCAGGTGTCCAAGAGAGGTATAACAGATACGCATATAGAAGCCCGAGCACAACATATGGTATACTACTTTCCATAGACTTCTTAGTCTGCATTTAAAGAAATCCAAACCAATTAGTTGATTCACTGTCATATAATGCAAAGCTTTAACTTTTCCCCAGCTTAATGTCCTTCATTGTAAACCAAAACTATATAACAAACTCAACAGTTATTTGCAAAATTCATTAATTATACATCATGAATTAGATTTGAGATCTTCAAAAAAAAAATTGTCACAATGAATTAGGGTCGATAATTATAAAAATTTAAAACAGAAGGAATGTCATACCAGTTCAGCATTTGGAGCCAGAACCATAAGGGTGTAGAATGGAAGAACAGCTACTGTTCCCAAAGTAAAAACACTACTAGCAATTTGAGAGCTTGCCAACCCTGCACCAAAAATGAAGATCAAGTTACTTCAGGAAAAAAAAAAAAAAAAGTAGGATTCAAAAAAGCAGCTTTTGGTGCTTTAGAAAAATGAAAGGCGTCATAATTGCTTTGATTAGTTAAAATTCTCCAATGTTTAGCAAACACTCAAAAATTTACTGTAAATGCATAAAGTAGCAAGGATCTAAAAGATCTAGGAACTATTAGTCTCCAAATTGAGTGGAGATAGAAAATTTCAGACACTTAAGTGCATCATCTCTAAGGTTTTGATAATAGAAAATAATAAGTCTAAAAAAAAAAACATTTTTTAACAAAAAGAGGAGAAAAAGGGAGGGAAAAAAAAAAGAAGTGCCCTGGTGAAAACTGTCTTGACTAAATTTTAAGAAGAGCCTAGAAACCCTTGTTCAATGATAAAACAGGCAAGGAGAAAATTACAATTTAAATATATATGAATGTCCAGTAAAAGAGCCCGGAGAATAACATGTCTACAGTTCTGATTAGTCCATGTAATAAGTGAGAGAAAGAACAAACTGGAAAGGGAAGATTCTTCTTATAAATCCTACAGGCAACCTCACACAAGACTATATACTATTTACATACAATGTATAACATAGTGATATGCTCATTTAATACTTCTGTTACATAAGCATCTTTATCAGCTCAATACTTCATGCGATAAACAGCTCTTAATTCTTTATGCCAATTTGCACGAGAGTTTTTATTTCGTAGACATAATAGGATTGTGCTACCAAGCTGGTCCCATCAACCAGCTTTATGTGGAGGATGACGGCAAATTTACTCCAGAGAAGCCTTCACCATCACGCAATCAATCAAAGTATCCCCCACTAGATCGAATGGCATCAGTTGTCGATTTTGGTTGCCCTATACAAGACTCAACATGAAATGGGATAGGTGATTTGATAGATGGAGGAGAAGTGGGATAAAGGTCTTGAAAGATCAAATTTTCATTCTATCACCATCAGGTTGAGAAAACAGTATAAGCTAAAAACAACTTAAAGCTTTAGTCTTTTCCTTAAAACTATCATTTGGAAGTCCAATGCCAAGCTTGTAAGGCTTACACCATGAATTCACCTCAGAGCTACTTCGAAGCTGCCAGGCTTAGCCATATGTTCTTAAAATCCAAAGACTCGCAATGGCCCCATGGACTGCAGCTTGAGGTTCGTCTTAATTTTGAAGGGGGAAAAAAAAAAATCACAGCAGATATTAGCCTCAGACAAGTTTGTCCATCTACAAATAAGTTTCACTAGTTTTCAACGTTTTCGTGACATCGTTGCAACAATTTCTAAAATAAAATTACAGAAATCCATACTTGTATAAATTACACAAGAACTATCTATTTTAGAGGTAGGTATACCGATAACAATTAACAACAATTCGAAATCTTAATTGCAACTTTTCTCACCTCATGTCTATCTGTTTACTTCTAATGTGATGGTTAACCATTCCCATCATTTTCCGTATATATGTGTACACATATGTGGGTGTTTTGCAAGACGACTTTTGCGACTTTTATATTTCTCTCATTGGCTTTTCATTTATAAATGTGCTGCCAGGAGCTTAATTCTCACATTCAATAGATCCTAAATTCTCAGAACAGTCTCCTCTTCCTATAACTTAGTTAAAATATCGAAAAATGAAGGAAAAAAAACGGAAAATGAAGTTAACAAAGCTAAAATGGCAAGTTTAAGACATTTTTACCGAGCAGGATAAAGATCACTACTTCAAATTTGCACATAAAGTTACAGTAAATGACTGATAAGCAAGATAGGTTACAAAGGATTACATGAAGCAGACACGCCAAAGTTTTTGCTATGAAGAATGAATTTTCTAGGGATTGGTCTCATGGTAACTTGTGATCCTCCCATGAAACTCCAGTCATTGTTTAACTTGGCTCCAAATCCCGGAACTCTTTGGCCAAAGAGAACAGTGGTCATACCTTTAAGGGAAAAAGTGCATCTCCGATCCGTCCCAATATTACAGGAAGGGGTTATAGTTAACAATGAGCGGTCAATCTGTAAGAAGTAGACTAAAACTGTAAGAGCATGCGTTATGTTCATAGAATACAAAAAAATTAGCTAATATCTGATGCTGAATCGTTAATGTAATTACATGATTTCCACTTGCTTAGATATATATATATATATATATATATATATATATATATATAGAATAATCTAGTGGATATTTTTTATTGCTTATAGAAAAGTTTGTTAATTCAATAAAAGAAAATTGTATGAAGAAAGAGCAATGGACAAAGGTAAATACTGGTCATGTGCTTGACCACGTAACTTCATAATGCTGGTATCTCACAATCAGTGAAGCCTAAAAATGTGAAACTTAAGGAGCACTTCACATCTACACCTTGTGCGAGTTGCAACAGTGAATAATCAAAGTTCACATAAGCATTTTGATCTAGCTTCTAGCAGAAGATCTATCATTTACAAAATTGTAATACTTGAGAATGAGACATAGACATTATACACAGATGATCTGTTTGTTTCAAGGGAAAATAGGCCATAGTGGTGATCTATTTTTAAAATTTTCGGAGACGAGGGTAGTATATTTAGTGCATCTCTCTAAAATTGGCACCTCAAAAAAATAAGGAAGCCATCTTTCATCAGTTAGAAAAGACTATACAAAATGTGAAAATCAAAAAACCTAACCGTCTTAGTACAGAACCAATCACTTGAGTGAAAAGAAGCAATACAAGTTTCCACATGGGACATTTCCTAATGTAATGGTAAAATCTTGGGCCGCTAAGGATGGGAACATGAGTTTGAGTCCATTGTCGGGTCCAAGGGTGTTGTGACGTTTCCGATTTTTTTTGCCATTTTTTAATTTTCTAAAAATTTTGTTGCCACAAAGGTATTTCTGTCATTTCACGTTTTGCATACGGGATTGTGGTTGGGTCCAATTGCAATTGGTACATTTAAATTCATGTGGACTAAGCGGTATGTGCATGTGGTGCATTGTACATGTTATGTGGTGTAGAATTTTGTGACAAAAGAATAATGGAAAATCAAAATTTGAAGTGGAGGGACCCACCACTAATGCATTAGTGGTTTAGAGACCACTCCTTCTCTCTCATTTTTCTCTCTCCCTGTTTCTTCCTCTCTCTCCCTCATTTCCCTTCATTTTTCTTTTCTTTTGGAAGCCAAACTTTGAATCTTGATTTCTCTCTCATTACATGGTAGATTTAAGTGCCGTTTGAGGCAAAACGGAGAGCACGACGAACTCTACACGTGGGTACAAGCAATTTCAGTTTTGGTGCTCCCTAGAGACTTCGAAATTTGGACCCATTTTGAGGGTTTTTGCAATTCTAAGAGGTAGGGGTTTCTAATCCATGAGTTCTTGCCCCCTAGTGAATTAATCCTTGTTAATTGATGCTTAACATGCTTAATTGAGTTGATTACCTCTAATAATGATTTGGTTTTGTAAATGAGATTCATGTTTATGTGTATATGTGGTTTTGTGAGACAAACATGCTTAGATGTTGATTTTACATGCTTCAGTGTTTATATCTTGGTAGAATTTGTTATATGGAAAGCATGTCTATGTGTAGCTTCCATTATGCTTATGGTGCTAGTAATTTCTTTGTAAATTGTTGAATGGGAGCATGTTAAATTGTGTATTGTATGAATCTTTCATGTATCATGGCATCATGAAAGCATATGATGATCATGCATATCATTGGGTATCAAAATGGGAAAGAAATTGTTTGATACAAAAAGGGGAACTTTTGGGGGAAACAAGTTTTGATGAAAAAGAGTTTTGAGAAAACCCGATCACTGCGGAGTCACCAACGGGCCGGTAGGTTAATGTAACCTAGAGAGAACTAGGGAGATTGTCCTAGCGTGGTTGAGATATCTGGGCACCATAATGACGCTGCGGAGTCACCAAAGGTCAGGGACAGTAGTCAATCCTTCTCTCGGCGCTGCGGAGTCACCAAATGGGGTTACATTAACAGTTTGAAATTGGTGGATTTGAATTGTTGAAAATGGGGAGCGACATTAACATGCACTGCATTTCATTGCTCCATATTGATTGTGTTGAGACTGTATGTTATGTTGTATTTTCCCTACACAATATGACCCCGATTCCTATTGTCCTATTCCTTGTTTGGGTTCACGAAGACACAAGATGCGTGTCTTAGGTGCCACCTACTGAGCAATTTGCTCACCCCATATATTTATATTATTTTTTTTTCAGGTCTTGGAAATGAACCGGTGGACAACAATCCACCTCAAAGCTTGAAAGTTGTTAGAAGGTTGTTTACTATTTTGTATTTTGACCATTCTATGTATATTCATAGTTGTGGAAATGTAATTAAGTTAGTATTCATGGCCTTGTAATTTAAGGACGAACTTATCTTTTGTTTGATATAAATGAAACTAATGGAATTATGGTATATATATTTCCATGCAATTGTATCATGTAACGTTGTAAGACAGGGACTTTAAATCTCAACCATGTATTTTGAGACTGTAATCATGATAATTTAGATTAATTGGTGTGTGGATGTTCCACCATGAGAGGAACTAAGTTAAGGCATGGTGAATGGATGAAAGGGATGTTAGAATGTATTATATGTTTATTATGCTGGGACAGGTTAAAAAATTCATTTAAACAGGTTATGGTAGGCCCATTTTTAGCGGAGGTTATGCCAATTTTTTAAAAATTTTGGCATCAGCTAGGGTCGTTACAGGTGTAATGCATTTTAGCATGTTTCCACTCTAATTACGGAACATAGACCAAAAAGGCCATTACCGAGTACTAGTCCTGCTTACACAGGGTGAGGGTGGGGAAGACTGTAGACAAACATGTCTTGTGCATTATTTGTGCACTAACTGGCTGCTCTCCTACTTGAGTAGCATCCTCATACTTGTCTGTCAGAACATTTAACATTGCCAAGCAATGAATTCCCAGGTTACGGAGAATCCAGAAATTTTATATTTAAGCAAGTAGCTCAATTTAACTCACGAGCTACCTAAGCAACTCATCAAAACCAAACCAAATTCCAATTGCAGACAATAAAATGAAAAAGGAAACGAGATTGGAATTCAATGCGGGTTTATAAGAATGGAATCCACATACTGAAATTGGAATTGGAAAAAATTTAGTTCCGAGTCTCAACTAATTTAGTAAAGGCTGTGATCATTGTTACCTTTAAAATGCATACTGAAATTACTGGTAACTTAACATGAAATTCAGTCTCCTAGGAAGAGTTGAACACAGGTCTCAATTAGATAACGTAAACACTAAACCATTAATAACACCCTACTATTAACATGCCCAAATTGCCAATCAAAAAGCACCCATAACCCATCTCAGATCTATCAAAATCTTCACCAAATCAATTCTCTAAAAAAGATATTCAAAATTAGCCAAACACCCATTTCCAATCAATCAAAGATTTATTAAATTCAGTTGAAAATGGATGCATTTAAAATGAAAAAAATGAAATGAATCACGATTTAATACCCAGATGAGAAAACCAAAGCCAGCCAAACACCCATTTCCGATCAATCAAAAAATTGTTAAATTCAGTTGAAAATGGATGCATTTAAAAAGAAAAAAATGAAATGAATCAAGAAGTAATACCCAGATGAAAAACTAAACTACATATACAAAAACCTAAGTAATCACATAACCAAATTTTTTTATAAAAAATACATACAAATAGCAAAGAAATCATACCTTGAGTGAGACTTGAGAATGGCAGAAGCAAGAAGAGAAGGCCATCTCTGTTTGGAAATCAAAAAAACTATTCCAATAACAACAACAATAATAGTTTCTTCATTCAATTATATACATACACACACATATATATATGCGCTATAGATATAGAAAGATATAATAATGTGATTTGAAGAGGTGATGCGAGGTGTTTGTTTCATGAGAAACGTAATACAGACACGCAGCTTCGGAGTGGAAAACAGAAGGGTTGGTCATAGCTCACTCGATGCGCACTGACTCGCCAGATATTAGTGAGCACCTTTAGACAAATCCATTGCAAGAACAATATTATTGGGTGGAGGGTGTTAAGTTTGTTTGACTGTTGGATTGTGTTGTGTTTTTATATCTATGCCGTCAGTGGCTGTACACGTGGCGCACATGCAGTTGGTCGGTTGTGCACTGGTCTAATCTGACCCGATGAGACCTGTGTGGTCCCAGATTGAAAAGGGTCGGGTTAGGTCATGGACCCCACCGCCCTTGTGCTTGGTGGGGTGAACAATTTCACGACCTTTCCATCCACTTGGAAATTTGGAATCTATGTCTGGCCAAACTCGAATGTAAAATTTTAGAACTCGTATTTAGAAACAAAACTACTAAAGCATTAATCCCCCTCAAACAAAAAGTGTAATTATTATATAATACGGAGTATAAGATTTAAGAATAAAATAATATTTTTTATTATAAATAGGACAGGTAACCTTTCCGTCCCACACCCATGTGAGTTTTCACTATAAAACTCGTTCTCGCTCAAAATTATATTTTCAAAACTATTTAATACAAGACAAACTGTATAAAACTTGTTCTCGCCCAAAATCATACTTTCAAAACTATTTTATACGGGACAAACAGTGTAGGCGTATGATGGGACGGGCTATTTTGCCATTCCCGGGACGTAGTGTCACATATTTCATCATCTTTTAGGCATTTAGTGTATATATGTAGGCTGCAATTGATATTTGTCTATCTCAAATCTCAATGGAATAGCAGATACTACAAACAACTCTAAATTATCAAAGAACAAAATTCTAATCTTCTGCTTAACAAATCACCAGGTAAAAAATCTTTAAAATTATGAGCCCATAAAGTTGATATATATTTTTTTTTAATTCAAAATATTCTCATGTTATTTCTTTCCTGAAGTATTTTGTTTTATTTTTTCACAATAAATATTCTTATTACAATAACAACACAATGAGAACCCCGAAGCAACAACTGCAGGATGCATTGAAAAAAATCTTCTAACAACCTATTCAAAAAATAGTTACACTGTCCATATAAATAACATTTCAGATGTGATGCACAATACGATTCGTGTGCAATAACAACATTTATGTTCTTTTCTTTTCTTTTCTTTACTTTTTCTTTTTTATTTTTCATTCACAACAATCCAGGATTTTCTTTTTATCTCCGTGGGTTCGGGAAAGAAGAGCTGCAACCGATCAAGAAGTGGCTTTTGTGCTGTGCTCATCAAGCCAAGAAACGATATCACCAAAAACTCGAAGTATCATCTCATCTGTTTCGCCTTCAAGAAGGGAATGATAAGCATCCATATAAAGGTTGAGTTTCTTGTCCGAACAGCTAGCCTTTTCATACAAAGCCTTGCTTACGGATGGATCAGTCACTACATCAGCCTCCCCGTGCAGGATCAACAATGGGAGAGAGACCTGTAAAGATCATAGACACTGTCAAGTCACCTAAAATATGCAGTAGGTACTCTCCGCTAACAACATTTCTGCAGACACGTTAATGACCCCATACACATGTTTCAGTGGTCTAATACAGCCTCTAGCAAGTCAGAAGTAGCATACTTAAAATTATTGATGAAATTCATCTGGCTAGTTATGTTAGTTCCCAGAATTCATTTAAGCAGAAAGAAAGATTAGGACATGCCCAACTGTAGACCTCTGGATAAAGCACAAGGAATGAAAGAGCAGACAGAACAGGACAAAATAAGATGCAGTGTGAACAAAACGTTGAAACACTATTGTAGTTTTGGATAGTGTAATAGAAGTGCAGGGTAGTGAACATACATCTTGCAATCGTCGTTCAATCTCTTGGGTGGTTCTGAGTAACTGTACAGCAGTTTGTAAGCGTGGTTTATGCCTGTAAGCAATAACATTGTAGGCTGCCTGCATTTGAGACAGAACGGAAACATGTCAGCCACATTTTCACACAGTAAGTTAGAAGTGCATAATGAGTTGCAAAAAGACACATTGAACAAACAGCAGGGAGAGGAACAAAACGCCACTACTACACAATCCTACATTTAATATTCATATTCTAAGTTGCAACTGGCAACCTTAATTTTTGTGAAATTTTCTTTCTCGAAATGATTTGTTAGAGAAAAGGGAGAAAAACAAACCAATTTTCTCTTATTCAAGTCTCTGAATGCCATATCTGCGAAATCCTTTTGTGGAACTAGCTTTTGCTTTGGAAGAAATTGAGCTATACCAATTAGGATTTGTGTCAATAACCATGGTGGAACCATGTCGTCTGCAATCTAGACAAAAGGCTTTCAGTTAATTAAATACACAAATCACTCTGAAGAGAAGTATCTATTATAAGCAATTTCAATACATTACTTTGCACATAGGTGCAACAAGAATGGCTCCGTTCCATGAGTTGGGTTCTTTCAGGTGCACCTTCAGAGCAACTGCTCCACCCATAGACTGTCCAAACAAGAAGCTTGGGAGACCACGGAACTCTGGGTTCTCTGCATCCAACAACCAACAAAGAAGTTTGTATCCAGATCATTCAGAATTAATTGCCAGCATTCTGATCATGCTCAATTAAACTGAGAACTAAAAGCATATTAAGTACAGCATGATAGGTTGTATATGAGGCGTTCATCTCAAATTTAAGATGACGACATAGAAGCACTAGTTTAAAATTTCGGAGGCTCGCATCCTTTATCTATTTCTTTTATTTGTTGGAGATGAACAATTATAAGGAGCAAATGCTTCAGAAACCTGCTATCCAATTTGTTCATTTGGGAGGAGGAAACTGATTTCAGCAGGGATAAGATCAAAGAATGTAGTGGCTTTCTGTTTCCATGCCATAATGCTTCATGTGAGACATAAATGTCATGCATAAGGTAGGACACTAAAAGGCTAAGGCCTTCTGGAGACTTTATTATTGTTGTCGTTGTTTACTATTATTTATTAAGAGAGATATTAGGATGTTGATGTATGCAACGAGCACATAAATCTCTCTGTTGTCTAGGAATTTACCATGATATTCATGATCTAGTTGGGTGTAATGGTAGAAGCTTGGACTAGCAAGCATGAAAATGAAAGTCGAGTCCTAGAGCAACAATTTTGTGCAAAACAATACCAAAGATTAGTCCAGCACCTCTATAAGCAAGACCAACAGTAAGTAATGACAATCTTTTATCAGCTCATGAGCATGATTTAACTTCTAGAATCTGAATTTGCATCTTTGTTCAATTGAGAACGTAATAGAGCATCCTACAATGTGGTAACATTTAGAAAACATGAACCACCTTTGTCATAGAAGTAAATTTCATATGAGTAAACTAAGGCTAAAAGTAACAAAGGGTGCTGCTGTGTGCAAACACCGCGATACATAGGATTTGAAAATGCAACTTCTACAATTACGCCTATTACAAGTGCTAATCTGGCAGGCATTGGACATGATGGCAACATCTAATACTAATTATAGAATTGTGAAATGTGATCTCGATTTGATTATTGTCTTATATTTGAACTTTCAATTGTCTTCGGGGTATTTAAAATGTGTTGGATTTCTCAAGGTTGCAGGCCTGGAATGGAAGTTGCACATCTGAAGCAATGAGTGAAAATTGCAGAATAAATTCTATGCATTGGGTGTTGGCAAGGTATCAGGAATATATATGACATTTCAACCTAACACCAACATTGCAATTTTTCTAATTTTCTAGGAAAAGAAAAAGTGGCATACTTATGGAAAGTCAATCGTTGTCTTGGTCACGATAGAAAATCCCTGTTGGTTGGAAATATGATGATTTCAAATTAAAATAACCTCTTAGACATGAAACAACATCAACCCCCTAGTCCAGTTCACACTTGGAGCACCAAGAAGCTATCGGTTGCATTGACAGAAAATAGGATAACAAGAAGTTTTGTATTTAAGGAGTTGCAATCCTATCTCTGGAAACAAAGTATTTAGCTATCATAGACTTCTTACAAAAGGGTTCCCTTATGACTAAGCAAAAAAAAACTACCAGGTACCAGACCTTTCACTTCTGAGTAGTGCTCGATGACATCATCGACCAGCCTTTCAAAGCTTGGTATATAGCCATGAAGACCTTCTGAAAGACCAAATCCTGGAAAATCCATTGCAAAAACTCCATATCCAGATGATGCTAACTTCCTAGCAATTCCTGCAAGCGGTGCCATAAAACAATTAAGTTCCATTGATCTCACAATACAGAATATGCCACTTCGAATTCTTGTCATGAACTACATGCCTTCGACAAAAAATGTGCAAGTGTCTCCATAACCATGACAAAAACAAACCACTGCTTTGGGAGGACAGGAAACCGGAAGCCAACTCTTTGTGAAAATTTCCAAGCCTCTAGAGTTCACCTTATATACCTTTATAGCAAAAAACACAGTGAAAAGTTCACGTAAATACACGCCAATAGCATTCAAAAATACTAGACATGATGCCAAGGTTCCATATATATATCTAATACTAGTATAACAAGTGACGGCTTCAAAGATTAAGCATACTTGATTAGCAAAAATATATTGCAGCTAAAGAAATGTGCAGTTCTTAGATACAACAACTTCTAGAGATAACAATTTCAGCCACATGTAATAAACTGAAATACTCAATGCAACCTTATTTAGCTTCATTGTTGATGTTAAAAAGAAAAAAGAAAATATCAAAGTCAAAATCCTTTTACCTCCTCCATCTTTAACCCATCATATGGCGTCTGCAACACAGTTAAACACAAATAAACATTATTAGCCACTGAACACTGGTGTGAAAAAAATAAAACTCAGGAAGTAGCTCACAAATTTGATATCTAACATTTCATCAGGTTTCACTCTCACTATGGTAACTACAGGAATGAAATGAAAGAAAAGAAGTGGCAAACACTTCTCTCAAAAGTCCCAGAAGAAAAGAACACACATAGCCTCAAATTCACAAAGGTAGAAGATATACAATTGCTTAAAACGGAAAGAGATAAAAAGACAACAGAGATTCGTTTTGGTATTCCAAAAGATTTATGAATAAGGAAAGATAATTGCCTAAAAATAGCATCTAAGCAAGCATGATCAATTAATTATTTTATTTTTCCTTGTTATTTTCCGGAACACAGAGAGAGTAAAGGACACGAATTAATGAACTTACAAGTGTACCACAATACAAAAAAACTGAGTCAAAAGCATCATTGGTGGGGTATGTGAAATGAGAACTGCACATAGAAGCAACTCAATCATTACTAAAGCTGATATCTTCAGCTTCCAATTCTAACCTTTTTTTGCACTGCAATACGAGGGAAGAAGAAGAAGAAGAATAATCCACCGTGTTACATGGGCCATCCTAATTGTGAGAAGTATCCACGTTAGACACAGTGCTACACGGAAAGGGGAATAGGATATATGATCACACGTTTATTCGAACATATATCCAACAAGCTTGATGGGTAATGGTATGTATTCTGTTCCTTATACATTATTGCTTCAAAATGAGTAAACTGCAAATGGCAGATCCTCTATATTACATAAACACCATATTAGCTGTGTTCCTGTGTTGTTGAATTTGAGGACTAGATAAAGCCAGCATCCAGACACATACCGAGTCCTAATACTATGTGGAAATCTAGAAATTTGAACTGATACCCTGATTCTAATTACTACACCGGAACCTGTCTTCAAAATCCGGAAAAATTAGTATCCATTGGACCTCCCTGTCCTTAATCATTCGGAACAATTAATGCCGATTGGACATTGGACCTCCATGGTTCCAGGTACTACTTGACCCTTGTCCACGTGCTGTGGGGGTTTATAAGATATCCCCATCAATCCTCTATCACCATTACTTGTACAGATAACGACTCAAGTAACTTCAAATATCATAGTCATCGTCATCCTTGACTAATTGCACATGAATGGGGTCGGCCACATTAATTTTGTGTCACCAACGTTTTCTGTTACATGTCATTTCGCCTACTAATAACTTCAAAATCGGCCATTGAAATTCCAAACCATAAACAAAACCTAGTACCAAATACAAATAACTACATCTTCTAATTAAAACTGAGCTCTACCCATAATTCATAGAATCAGTATGTGCAAAACAAGTCAGTCAAATGCAAGCAAAAACCAATCTTTGAAGCCAAAATACAAACAACAAACACACACACATATATAGCGATATGATATACCTTGAACAAGCAATAATCAATTGACAGCTGAGTATCTTTGAATGCTTCACGAGCGCGACGCCTCGCCGGCGCTTGGTCCATGTTCGCCTCCAAGATCGCCTGCAATTCCTCAGTGATGCCTGGGAACTTCGCCGGCTTACCCATTGCTGCTCTCTTGATTTTCTTCAGAGAGCAAACCCTAGCTTTGAATTCTACTAGCAGAATTCAAAGGTTTCAGAGATTAACCAAAGCAATAAAAAATAAATTAAAAAAAAAAAAAAACAAAGAAAGAGAGAGAGAGAGGAAAAAAAACAATTAAATGAATTAAGTGGTTGGTGGGATACTTACGGGCTAATGGAATTTTACTGCAAAGCTTTGCAGATTTGAAAGCCATGTGCCTTGTGATGATGTAAGTCTAGAGAGAGAAAGTAGAGAGAGATGTTCCTGAATGGGTGGGAGATCTGACCAGATGCTGGATGAGTATGACTTGTCAAACCGGACAAGCCATGGATGCCAATCTCAGTGGTGGTATGGTACTATATGATTTTTTATTTATTATTATTATTAAAATAGGTTTGTTTAACACACACGTTTGTGGAAAATTAATTTTGTAATTACTTATTTCGTTCCAAAATTTTAGGTTATTTTTTTATTTTGAGATGTTTCAAGATTCATAATAAATTTAAAATTTACACATTATTAATATAATAAAAAATGTATTAAAAATTATTTTCATAAAAAATTAGATTTTCATGGAAGTTCAAGAATTTTGAAACCTTGTTGTGAATGGTTCACAAGAGTCCTTGTTTTTTTTATTGTCAAGGCGACTTTAGATCGACAATTAACTAATACTCTGTTTTATTATTTAAAAAATTATTAATCGATCTCCAATATGCAGTGCAACTAAATAGTAATAATTTAAAAAGAAAATACAATATTCATACAATATAATAACAAAATTAAATTGAAATAAAATTATTATATTATTGCATTATGTCTGGACTATCACTGTTAAATGAACTAAATTTGTAATATTAAGGTTCTATTTGTTTAGATGTAAAATATTTTTTTATTTTTTATTGTTTGATTGTTGTAAAATATTAATGAAAAGTAAATATTAAAATATAATAAAAATAATTTAATTATTAATTTTTAAAAAATTATCTGTAGAAACAATTTTAACCTCAATTTATATCTTTATCAAATACTAAATAATAAAATAAAATATATATAAACAGAATTTGTTCGTTTGTATGTGTCAATGGACGTCACGAAGGTGGTGGGTCGAAGCTGAGAGGGGAAAGTTAACGAGAAAGTAGTGGTGGTGGGTGACAAGGAACGAATAGGAATATTAGGGATGACAGGAATGGATGGCCAAGATTTGGCAGAGGGAGGACAGATTTGTTTACGTTTCGACACGCGTACAAATGAATGTTCAACACTTCAAATACGTGGTTTGACTAGCATCACGTAATTGTGACGAAGTTTGGGAGGATATTGGAAAAGTCTCCCACGTCTGGTCAACTGAGGTGGGCCCATTGCGTGCGCTGTAAAATTGACTAGTTAGAGTTTTTTTTTTTTTGGGAAGTTAAATTGACGAGTTAAGAGTTGTCACAACGCTTCCTAGTGCAAGAGGTTTGGTGGCATTTCTTTTAAATTATTTTATAGGTTATATTCGCACATGTGGAGCTAAGAAGCAAATATATTTTTGCAGGGAGTCCTATTGGTGTCGTAATTGTATTGGATGCTGACTGTAGTTAGATATTATTTAAATATATATTCAATATTTTATAATAAATAAAAATAAATTTTTATTATTTTGGATATTTTTTTATTTTTTTCGGACACTTCACCAATACTTAGACCGACATTTTTAAATATTTATAACACAAGCTTATTCGATGATCTTGAAAATAATATGAGCACATTTTAAAATGTTCAACTTTTTTTATGAAGAAAAATTGACATTATATACATATGATCACAAGCAAAATATTAAATGACATTTATTTATTTAAAATTAATTAATTATTACGACAAATTAGTAGAATAACTATATAAATATATATATAGTTATATATGTGATATAAAAGTTATTACAATTCTTAGTATAAAATTATCAATGAATTAAGTTTTATAATATTATTACTCGATACATGTATATAAATAAAAAAAACTCATATTTATATATAGTCGTCCGTGTTCAAGTTGTACTAGTGTCTTACTTTTGAAAAAATTGACGCGTCGATGTATCCGTATCTTGTTGTATCCGTATCCTGTATTCGTGTCCATGCTACATAAGTGGAAAACCATATCAGCCCATTGAGTTAACGTGACTCTCCACGTTTATAATAATTACTTTGGAGTGACGTGGCAATAAAAAGTTTGAACATAAATACCCGCTTATTAGCAAGTCAATGTTTGGCTAGCTATAATGCATCCACAACCAAGGGCGAAGCTAGGATTCAATGGTTAGGGGAGCCGAACTTACAATCAGTAACCAAATACTATATATATATATTCAAGGGTGGATCCATAATTGTATAATGGGGTGGGCTAATCTATTATGGGGTGTGCTAGTACTACTAAATTTTTTTTTTTTTTTTTTAAGTTGGGCTAATTTTTTTTTTTTTTTTTGGTGGGTTCAAGTCCACCAAAGCCCATCCCGGATCCGCCCTTGTATATATTATGATTATAGTCACACAAAAATTTATCAAACCAACCGTCAGCCAATTTGTGTAAAAAAAAAAAAAAATCGACCTATATCTAGTAAAAAATGACATAAATATGTACAAAAATTAACCAAAAAAGACCAAATAATTATCTTTAAGACAATAAAATTCAGATATTATCGTATAACCAATTAACCTGAAATTAATCAATCAATTAGTTATTTAAAGAAGCTTTTTTTTTTTTTTTAATCAAACTTTCATAACAAACACAAAGGAAAATGATATTTACGCCGATGGATTTAGCCGATTTGTTAAGCAGAATCCTAGGTGGCGTCTAGCTGGCAAAAAGAATGGGCTTGCGTGCAATCCGTTCATAGCTTTTTGTGTTTGGCGACGAGCAGCGGCGACAAGGATGGTGGCGAGCTCCACGGCGGAGTGGTGAGCTTAGAGGACGGCGAAACTGGGTTTATCATGGTGGAGGTGAGTTTGGTTTTCAAGCAATGACAAATCGCGGCCATGACGATTTGAAGCCTTCAACACAATCGTTGGTGAGTCCAATGATGGAGAAAAAAGCAAATCGGCGACGGAGAGACACCGACATTGGAGAAGAAAGTAGATCGGCAACGGAAAGACGCCGAGGACTGAGAAGACAGTAACTGGCTAGCGGCTTATGGTTGCCGACAATGAAATCCCTGTAATGATGAACTTGGAAGAAATGGGTCTTCAAAGTAAGCAAAAACTTGTGATAAACCGATTGTGACAAACCGACAGCAATGATGGACTGCAGTGAAGCTGTCTACCTGTGGGACTCTTTTCACCAGTGTGGTATCTATTTCTTGGGTTTGTTGTTGATGGGTGTGTTGAGAATGTTAGAGTGTTTCTCAAGTTCATCGTAATGCTTTATTTGAGGTGGAGAAATTTTCAGTTGAGGTGAAGTTATGAAGAGATCCTTATTCGAGGTGGAGTTATGAAGAAGCACGTAAAGATAGAATTTTGAGCCAAGGTGGAGATTGTTAGGTTTGTGGCTCAAAATTTGTGTGCAAAAAATTAGTTTCCTTTTTCGTTTTGGAAGCTACGAGAAATAGTTTCCTATTGGTTTTGGAATTTAGAAAACTTGGGGAAAAATGCTAAATATTTGGGAAAGAAATTATACCTGCTATTTTAGAGTTGAAGATGGATATGGTAACTCCTTGTAGGTAGTTAATCATTGTCCAACAAGGAATTGGATTTGAAGAATACTTGTCCAATAAGGAATTGGTTTTTTGAAGACTCTATAAATAGAGATGGGTATGAGGGGTTTAGAGAGAGAGAGAAAAGAGAAAAGATGTAAGGGGTTTAAGGGTGAGTGTTGTGAAGAGAGGGGAGAGTATATGTAATTCCTAAGTGTATACATGTAGCCTCAAAAGAGTGAGTGGGGTTTTGACATGTGGTTGTATATTCTCTTCCTTGATTCATAATAGTGAAATCTCTCTCTCCCATGGACGTAACCCTAAAGTTGGGTGAACCATGTAAAATATTGTATTGTGCGTTGATGTGTATGATTGTTATCTCCATATATGCTTGTGTTGATGTGATGTGATGAGGCTTCCGCTGTGTGTGATGAAAGAGGGATTTAACTCTCAACAACAGCCGACCATTGAGTGGGTTGGAGGGAGTTGATTTACCCCCAACAGAGAAGTGGCCAGAGGAGGATTCGCAAGAGTGAAGGCCCATTAATGATAGTGGATTTGAGTCTGAGGGTTTTGTGAGTGGTGAGGATGAGTTTGATTTGGCCTTTGAGAGGCCATTTACCGCAGACCCAAATGATGAAATCCTAGCAGATACTCCTTATGTTGAGGAATTTGTTGTTGCTAGGCCTAATCTAAACAGACCCAGATGAAGAAATTGTAGAACAGAGTGGTGGTGTTGAGGAACATGTTGTTTTTAGGCTTTTTTTTTTTTTTTTTCTAAACCATTTATGCCGTTTGCCCAATTATCTGGGGATAGTGACAAAGATGCTTTGGGCAACGAGGAAGTGAAGGATGATGGGTTTTTAGGTGCCGTTAGGGTCTCGGGTAATGGGGTTTGGAGAGGATCAATAGTGCTCCTAAAGTTAAGATTTAGGAGGTTGAAAGAGGAGAAAAATATGAGTCCAAATTCGAGCCGGCTTTGGATGTGGAAGTGGTGGAGGATTCAGCCTTGGAGCGGATAGTTGCAGAGGACTATGCTGGGGAAGGCTTTGTGAGATGATGGGACAAGACAATGATGGAGTCCGGCAGTGATGAGGTCGATGAGTTTGGTTTCGCCGGAAGTTACAGAGGTTTGCAGTTGGGCTCAATCTTGTCTTTACGATATTAGCCAAATATGATTAATTTATGCCAGGTGGACTGCCACATCATTTCTGCCTAGTAAATAGGCCAGACAATTCTGCCTGAGTATCACGACCCCAAACACAAAAAAGAGAGTTAAGGCAAAATTTAAAAAACTTTCAACCCTAAAGGAAAGTGAATATATTATCTATTATTGCAATTAGGCTTAGTTTAATATAATATAGAAAGTTAGAAACCATTTATAATTACAAAATATTATGGGGGAGCCAAGTATGCATTTATCTATACTATTTTTCATTTCAAGTTGTATTAATAAAAGTTAATAAAAATTTTGGGGGGCCATGGCCCCTGCTGGCCTCCCCCTACCTCCGTTCCTGTCCACAATGGTTGTTTTTGGTCATGTTTAAGTATACATATCATGTCGTTAATAATGTTTATTCTATGAAAATATACACCACTCAATGAAATTAGTCTCCCACTTATTTATAAAAACTATTGTCAATAAATTAAAACAATGCATTTTGATTAGGTGA